GGCTAGGTTTTCATGGTCAAGGAATCATATTATGAGGGTCACACCATCATGGGAATATTACTTATAGCTGCCTTGCAGGTTTGTGCTGTGCAGTCTAGTGTTTTAATGGTTAAATAATGATTAGCCAATACGTACATGAATAAGTTCAGACCTGTCCTAGAAAGTCTTATAGCTTCTCTGTCAGTAGACAACAATTCCATATTTTGATTGCTACACCTTCAAATATGATTTTTTTTCTGAGTTTGTCAAATTCCCAGAATTCCCGTTTCTTCTAGTGTGCTGTAGCGCCTCCATCTGTTCCTAACATGTAGCAGACAAGCAGACAGTTCTGCTTCCAACATGCCTCCGCTCCAGCTTCTTCTAAATTGTAATGAAGTACTGTGACATTTCAAAAGCTGCTGTCCTCCCCCAAAAATAATCACATTCTGGGAACCTGCTGTGGAGTCCTGTGTTTATTTTTGCATGCTGCACGGTTGGCTGTCAGCCTGGGTGAAGTGAATCATATGTTTCAGCTATTTCCTTGCTTTTTGTCCACTCTTCTCTTGCTCTTGTGCGCTACTGTAAAGAAAGTGACTTTCGGCTTTTCCCGTTTTTAGGGAGAACGGCACAGCGAATCGTCACACTGACGACTCGCATGTTGACATTTGGCACATGTTTTACGCAGGATACCCTTCCTGACACAGCCCTGACTCGAACCTGGGCCGCAGCGGTGAAAGCGGTGCGCCTTAACCCCCAGGGACGGCTCTTGTGCGCTACTGTAAGAATTATAATTTACACATGAAAAACGTTTCCTTGTTTATTTCTCAGAATGTCTAGCACACAATGTACTAACCCATGCTCCAGAGTGAAATAAATTCATTTTGCTTTGTTTTGTCTTTGTTTAGAAACTCGATACTGAATCCAGTTATGTAGAGCTTTTATAATCTGGGTTAAATGGTAGGCCTGAGCAATATGCACATTTAAACAAAACACCCCAAGCCACAAAGTAAATTCGTCATGGTCCAGTTTGCCTCACCCTGCATTTTGAAGCTGGATGGCACATCTGTTTAGTTGAGAACAAGTCTGGAAAAAAGAATAAATGTATTAGTCTCTGATGCAAACGTAAGCTTTACAGGTAATTAAAAGCTAAACTCAAACATCTAGAGTTTAGTAGGAAGGTGTTAATGTCTGAATGTGCTATGAGCTTTGTCCCATCTTGAATGAACACTACAAGTTTAGCTGCATCAGTTAGGAGCAAATGTTAGTTACCATAAGCTGTCTTGCACTGACAAAACAAAAACAAACAAACAAAAATCAGCAATCCCAGCAATTAATAATCCACGTAGAAGAATTGGAAATAAACACAACAGTTTCTGCATAAGTCAAGCTAGTTTTCTGGACGTGCATATGCTTGCAGTTTGGAGCAGATAAAGGCACAGTCCTTGCTCACACTTCTGCTGTTGTGCTTTTATGAAAGGCTAGAAAATGAGACACCACTGTCTCTAAACACCAGCCCCTTGCCTTTCACTCAGGTCATAAAGGCACCATAAAGAGGACAACTGTCAGTTTCAGTTTTATTAATGTTAATATACATGAGAGGTTCTGTTTATTTTATTTAATCCCGGGCACAGGACTGAACAAATTGTAGACTGCCATCTAACATTCATATGACACGTACAGGGGGAAGGAAGGTTCAAAGAAAATATGAATAAACCTTTAGAATGACCTTTCTTTTATCTTTTATTTAAGAGCTAAAACTGAGACATTATCTCATCAAATATTCAGATACTTTGCATAGCATCATTGGTTCAGTGAAATAATATCCTCAAGTGAAGCCAAAAATAAATAAATAAATTTAGAAGACCCTGTCAGCATATGGTAGGATCTGTAATAAACTTGAGGAGAAGGGGGAGGAGGAGGAGGAGGGTGCTGATGAAGATGGCTCACATTGCAATCTTCCAGAGGTTTTGTTGACTGTTGTGCAGGGGAGAGCTAATCAGCATGAAGGAGAGAAATGTGAATATGCAGAGATGAGGGGCACTGCAGTGTATCTGCTCATTAGTCGGGTGACGCTGTAATTCAGCAAGCGAGCGGCTCTGCAATCAGGGGCCTATTCATTAGCATGGGGGGCCCGCTTTCATCTGTAACCACTTGAAGCTGCCAATCACAGAGGCGGACGCATGACAGGATGACAAAACGGGGCGGCTTAAATGCTCAGGGATGCTTGTGCATGGAGAGAGACATGCCTAAATGCTGCCTTAAGCGCTCATATCTGAGAAGGGCTTTAATGGGGGAGAAATGTTGGAGAAAAATGTTTTAACAGTGTAGTGCTGGCAGGTGGCCCAAACTGTGTCAGCCTGATAATCATCTCCCAGCATGAAGACAGCTTTTGTTCAAAGATTTCACAAGGAACAGCATCATTTTCAGGTTTTCTTCTGGGGTGAACTGATTGAAAGTGATTGATTAGAAGAAATTTAGATTTAAAGGGAAAGTTTAGGGGAGAACAAGAATATTCCACCAATGTCCTCTTATGCCTTACATGCGGTGCTCTCCAATTTCTGTCCTTCACACACAGATATACAATACACTCCTGCACAAAGACATAAATGTACCTAAAAGTCAAACAGTGATGTTGACACAGACACACACCCGGTCAGTTTGGCACCTTTAATTAAATCCCAGTACAGTATAAAAGGAGCTAGTGTACGCATGTATTTATCTGCTGTAGTTTTGCTTTCATGTAAAGGCAGCTCTGGGTGAAACCGTTGTGTTTCTAGCATTCTTGCTCCTCCACGAGCAACAGGAGAAACTGTGACACAGTACTGATGGATTTTTACTCAGTTTAGATGTTTGTGTTCACCTGCTTTGTAAAAAAATTAAAAACTTTTTTCAAAATATTTAATTGATCAGGGATTTCTTCCTATAAATCTATTAAATGAATATCCTCATGTAACAAAATAATGCTTATTCACTTACTATGAGTTACATTAGAAGATTGAAAGCATTCTCATATTTATATTAAAGCACAGCTAGCAGCCAGGTAGCTTAGGAGAAGACTGGAAACTGTGAAAAACAGTGAGCCTGGCTTTATTTGAAGCTGGTAAAACATGCTTACAACACCTTCAAAGAGCACTAATAAAATGCATTTATAGTAGGTTTCATCTTTAAAATGACCAGGAACGGCTCCTTTTACACATAATGTACATTTGAATCCACGGTGGGAATGGTGGACTCCACCACCGACCATACAAACTACTATTTAGAGAGGTAGCATTATATCTCCCAGCCATAAATAGTGTTAAAAACTGGGTTTCATAATGTTCAGAATTATAACTTCAAGGCAGTAGTACTCATTGTGTGGCATAAGCTTTAATCTACGGCTTGCATGGCAGCATTTATTACATGATAATGCACCGAGTCATATATTCCCTAAAATACTCCAAACAGCTACACTGTTTATACATACAAGATGGTACTACAGGCTATAAACACAGCATAACTCACTGTACTGGTGCCAGTTTTGATGGGCCTCTGGAGCATCATACAAGTGCTGCTGGATGGATAAATAAATAGTGAGCTGGTGTGAGATAATTTGGGGAGAAACATGACATGTACTATAAGCACACATCCTTTTCATGTATATTTGGGCTTTTACAACTGTCACCAATCTTACCAAACTGCTCACTAGTGTATAATGTTGCTAGTTTCACCACCGTAGGGGTAGGGCGGCACAGCAGCGCGGTGGTTAGGACTGTTGCCTTACAGCAAGAAGGTTTTGGGTTCAAGGAAGGATCCTTCACCCAGGAAAGACAAACATGCATTAGATGTATGTACAGAAGAGAACAACGTAGTGAAATTACAGTATTAGGGTGACAAAGCGGAGTTTGCATGTTCTCCCTGTGCCTGCGTGGGTTCTCTCTGGGTACTCCGGCTTCCTCCCACAGTCCAATGATACTGTATGTAGCTTTGGCTGACTGGTGACTCTAAATTGCCTGTAGGAGTCAGTGTGAGTGTATGTGGTTGTTTGTCTCTAAGTATCGGCCCTGTGATAGACTGGTGACCTGTCCAGGGTGGATAGTGTCTCGCCCAGTGTCAGCTGGAATTGAAAATGAAGAACAGTGTGTAAAAGCTGAAAAACAAGATAAGCAATGGAAATTTAAATGAATGATTTTTTTAATTCATGTTCCACAGATCCAGTCCTTTGTGTTTAACCACTCCCGCTCTAGTTTCAGCAAAGTCATTTAGTGCTGTTTCTAAATCATGTACCCAAAATTGCATGTTTTAGGTGATGTATTTGTGTCCTGCCAGTGTGGATCCCATGCTTTAAGTGCCCACATGTGCACTAGAGACCACTGACACAACAGTTTTTTAACTATAAAATGTTATGTTGAATTCATTTCTTGTTCACAAATAAAAAAAGTTAATGTTTATGCAAACAAACAAAAAAGTGTAATATCATCAGGTATTATCTGATTTTTCTCAACTCGGGTATCACTCTCAAAAGTAACGCGTCAGTCTGGTTTTAGTTTCAGCCCTCACAGACATCCTTTACCTCAAAGTATCCCGTTCATTCGTCACATCACAGCAGCTTAGGTGCTGTCAGTCACTCCAACAACTGTAGATAATCTGTGTAAAAAGGCCTCATAAAAACCAACAAACTGCCAGATCAATTGCAGCACTGAGTCAAAATGTCTATAACCATTTTCACAGTAGGACTGCATACAGCATGTAAGGTGGAGATGATATGTAGAGTTGTGGCAGGATATTGCTGCGAGTAACATGTTACTGCAGGCACTTGGCATCTGACAGGTGACCTTTAGGTTTTTGCAGCTCTTGGTGTGAAAATACTGTCCTGATATAAAATGCTTCCACTGGAGATGTAGTCACATTTTCTCTTCTTTTTGCCATGACATTTATAGTCACACACACTCACACGCTTTCTCTGCCGGAGTAAATCAGCTTGATCCTCAATTATTCAAAGACTAATGTTTTCATAACAGATCTGATACATTTTATTAAATCGTAGCAGTATTTACAATGTACAATCACTGAATTATTCTATTTCAAGACACATTTAAAAGTGCTTTTCAAAGTGAAGTTTTGTTCTGAATAAATAAGTTTCCATTTTCTGACAACAATACAACAGCAAACAACAGTGAAGTTGCCAATGTGCTCATCACCAATACAAAATAATAAAAAGGCTGAGGTTTTACTGTAATACTGCTACAACACTTGTTTTTTAATTTTTTTGCAAGCTCATATTGCAGCAATAAATTTAAAATAGTTTGTGAGTGGGTACAAAAAAGGGAAATCAAATCCTGACCTGATGCATTGTTTTGTTCCCGTCAAAAAGAAAAATGAAATAAAAGTGGTCTTCTTCTCGGCATCATAAAAACAAAAAGGTTTTAAAAAACTCCCATGTGTCTCCCACTGCCACAGCTCTGCAGTCTCACAACGAAGAATCCGACTGATTTAAAACAGACTGTCGAGGTCCTGCTGCTTGAGGATTAGACTCCCAAACAGAGCCAAATACTGGCAGTATGTCCCAAAGGATTTTTGTCATCGCATCTTCATCAGAGTAGTGACAAAGGAAAGGTTGAAGCAGGAGGTCAGCGGCTGATGGGAAGCTGTGGTAAAGAGATGGACGAATGGGTCAAGTGGCTCGGAGCAGCGAGGACGGAGAAAGGATGAGCTGCACAAAGACGAGAAGAGAAACAACATGAGCCTGGGAAGCACTCTGAGCATCTTATTGTAATTTAGGAAAAGAAAATGTTAGGGATGAAGGATAAAACCTCCTGAAGCATCCACACAGTTAAGCCACAGAGATTTTAGTCTGCAAAAATGATCCAATATAAGAAAAGAAAGTCACAATATACCCAGATTACACATTTCTAAAACTAGAGTAAAACAGTGAGTCAAACTTGTCACAGTGTCCTTTGTAAGTTCTTCTATTATAAAGTTCAAATAAAATATAAATAAATAAACCAAAATAAAACAATTCCCTCAAAGTGGTTTTCAGTCTGTACAATATACAACAGCCTCTATCCTTAGAAACTTTTAAAACAGCCTGCGATTACATACAAAGTCAATTTGTTGTGTGAACAAGGAATACCAATGAGAATCATTTGCACCACCCTGCACATTTGCATATTATAATATGTTGAACATTTGCTATTAAAATAACTAAGATATAGCAGTTAGATAAATGTATGTAAATGAGTAAACTGTACAACACTTCTTGTACTAAATGTAGTTGAGTAGAAGAATAAAGCAGCATGAAACAGAAGTAGCTCAAATTTCTAGAGCAGCATTTGAGTAAATGTACATACTGGAGGATGTAACAAAAAAAAATTTCTGGAGTTAAAATCTTGTCAGATTAATTATTAAATATACTCTACGTGAAACCACTGAGGTTGTGCATGTTATTCTGCTTTTTTGAAAGCATAATTTTCATGTGTGTCACTCCCACCGTGGCACTACCATAAGGAGCTGACACTCACTGTCCAGGTATCCGTGCAGGGCCAGTAGATGTGGTCGGTCTGGGCCACTGAACGGTGAATAGTGGATATCTTCTGGCAGTGATGGGGGCATCCTGGACAGTGGCGCACTCTGAGAGAAGCTGCTCTGAGGGGGCTGCTTTTTGTGTCGTGCGCGACAGTTCTGAAACCAAACCTGGGAAATATTACAGGTATTGTGAAGATACAGCAAGCAAAGGAGAAGTGTAGCCTACAACAGCCCTGTGGAAATCAGGGTCAAGGTCTGAACTGTTGCTCCGCTCTCTCGACTCCATTTGCTCATTTGTTTCTTTATCTATGGCCAAATTAATGTCCTGGGGTCCCTGGGGCACAAAGCCGGTGTTAGGCCCCTGTTGACCCCGACTGACTATGGCAGTTTCATCAGTTCCTCCAGTCCCCAGAATCCATCCTAGATTAGTGTATAGTAGATCAGTGGAGTAGTATTGTCTTTGACTTTTTTTCCTTATGACCCATTAAAACAAAGCCCCTTATCACAAGTTAGTGTATCTACAGACTGTGATCAGTTGAACCAAAGAATAAATTTCCCTTTTCAAATTGTTTCATTTGCACAGTTTCCAGAGGCTTGCAAAGGAAAAAAAAACATCATGTATTTTACATGAAAATTAAAAAAATCATAATAATCCTTAATGATCTCACAGGCCTGAGATTTATCTCACATCCCCTGTGGTATGAAACAGTGTAAATGTAAACAGTGGCCCACCTGTATGACTCGTCTGCTCAGTCCTGTCATTTCTGCCAGTTTCTGTAAAGTCTGAGCATCAGGGTTGTTGTCCTGAGCAAACTGTGTCTGCATCACCTATGAGGACAGATGTAATAAACTATATCTAACACAGCAAGTAACTAACTGCATTTATACAATAATGCCAAACATGTGGTTTCAGCTTTTGCTGCTTTACCTAGACTTAAATAACAATAAACTCAAACCATTTGTGGTTTAGAGTTCTGATTGGACAAAATGAGACTCTGGGTCATTATTATTAACATTTCTCACCGTTTTGCCCGATCAAGAAAATAACCAACAGATTAATCCACAATAAAAATAATTCATTTTATTAATTGTTTGTAGTCCCATAAAAAAGATATATATAGATATATAAATACTTATACTCTGTGTATTGAGTACTTTTAATACTTTAAGTACATTTTTCTGTTTATACTTATGTGCAGGACTTTTACTTGTAATGAAGTATTTTTACTGTATGATATTGTTACTTTTACATACATCAGTGAGGTGAAAACACACAAACGCACATCAGAGCAGAATGTACCTGCAGTTGCTCAGCAGTGAACGATGTCCGCGCCCTCTTGGCTGGTTTTGGTTGGCAGTCCTGATCCAAGGGCAACGCTCCTTCCAGAGTCAGTCCTGTACCTGGACACAATCACAACGGGTTTTCTCAAGTCACTTCACCCACAAATCAATCCAGTCATCATATCATAGTGTGAAGGCCAATCTTGTTATAACTCTACAACATTTGGATTTCAATAATATAACTGATTATAAACTTGCTGGGAAAGTAAATGCAGAACATGAACTACATCAGATTCTCCATCTTGCAGTGAAACATGTGGGACCCTGTGTCAAAGTCCTTGACTATTTTAGTTAATACGAACTAATTTGCTGTAGAGTTTTGTTTTATCAAATTTCTTTTGACTTATTAACACAAAAACCCCTGGACAAGGCCATGTTATTCCTTTATATATGAACTGCTAAACTGCAGCTATTGCCTTTAACAGTACACTTATTGTTTCATATATAAAATGCCAGAAGGTTCAACACGTCACTGATTGGTTTGGTTGTTTGCACCAATATTGAAAAAACACAAATATGTTCAGTTTATTTTACATAAACTAGCAAATATTCACATCTGAGTAAACTGTGAACACATTCCATACTTAATTAATCACGTAAATGATTGATCAGTGAAAAAATTGCTGACAACAGATTTTCTGTCAGTCAGCAGATGATTAATCAACTAATCATTTGAGCTGTAGAGTAGTGGTGTGTTTCTGGGTGCCTACATGGGAAAATGAAAATGACAAGTACAGTGAGGTTCAACACAGACCCCTAAAAGGTTCACGGCTACGTTCTGCCCATTGGTGACCATCCTCAGCTAAATCCTTGATAATGTCAGTTACCATTCTCAGCAGCCCTGCGGAGGTTGTCCAGCATGATGTCGTAGTGGCTGCGGCAGAGCACCCTGCCCTCCACCAGGCCGAACTCCTCCCCGGTGGACAGCTGTCTTTTACAGGAGAAACAGGCAAAACAGGCCAGGTGGTACACGCTGCCCCGGGCTCGCCGCACCCAGTCACTGGCATACACCTGTCGGCCACACTGGGCGCACTTAGTGCCAAACCTACTGTGAGGAAGACAGACACAGGAAGGTGAAGGTCAGCTGATTCTTAAAACTGAGTATCTGCCAACCAAACCCTATCCAGTATTTGTTTTTAATCTTGAGAGTTCATCTTAAAATCACATTAAATACAGTTGATTGCAAAAGTTTGTACCCCCTTACTTTGAAATGGCAAAACGAGTAAACTAAGTTTTTTTTTCTAGTACAAATGTTCCTTCATCAACAGACAGGACAAAAATGGTCAGGGAGTGAATAAAAAGATAGTTTAGTAAAATAATGACAATTGTATTAGTGCATAACTTTCCATCCCTCTTTACAAAATGTTCTCTAACACTTTATATGTCCTCCCTAACCTTCTCCAGCCTCTTTGGATATCCTCTCAGCAGCATTTGCATCTTTTCAGGAATAATTTTAGCCCATTCTTTATGGCATACTTGATCCAAGTCAACCAGATTGCTTGGTTGTCTGCTACTGTATGTGCAGCCCTCTTCATATCGGTCCACAGGTTTTCAATGACACTGTAACTGAAAGAAGTGCTAGGAATTTTGCTCAAGAGCTACGCAAGAATCCAAAACAAACAGCAGGGGACCTGACAAAGTCCATAGAGAGAAGTGTAGTCTGGGAGAAAAGCACACAGGAAGCCAGTGGTTACGTCTACCCATAAGGCAGCATGCTTGGAGTGTGCTAAGGAGCAAGACTATGTGGTCTGATAAGAGCAAAGTTGAAATATTTGTCCATAATTCACAGAGGTATGTGTGGTCAGAAAAACCACTCTGCCTACGAGGAGAGGAGCACGATTTTCACAGTCAAGCATGTTGGAGGCTGATGATTTGTTGGGGGGGGGTGTAGGTCTGCAACGGGCACTAGAGTGCTGCATAAAGTGGAAGAAAGAATGAATGCAGCCTAATATCAGAAGATTTGAAAGCAAAGCCTCCTACCGGCAGTCAAAAGGCTTAAAATGAAGAGGAAGTGGATCCTACAACAAGACAATGATCCAAAGGACAAAGCAAAGTTAACTGAGGAATGGTTTAAAAAGAATAAGGGGAATGTTTTACCACGGCCTTCCCACTCTCCAGACTTAAATATCATTGAAAACCTGTGGATCAATATGAAGAGGGCTGCACATACAGTAGGAGATAACCAAGCAATCCGGTAGACCTGGAACAAGTATGCCATGAAGAATGGGCTAAAATTACACCTGACAAGATACATCCACTGCTCCGAGGATACCCAAAGAGGCTGCAGAAGGTTAGGGAGGACATACAAGGTATTACAGAACATTTCATAAAGGGGTATGCAACGTTTTGGCTCCTATAATTTTCATTATTTTACTGTAGCTTTCTTTTTATACATTCTCTGACCATTTCTGTTACTTCTGTTGTTAAAGGAACAGTTGTACTACCTGAAGGTGCATTAATGCATTAATATTATGTTGATGAGAAAAAAAATCTTTTACTCTTTTTGCCATAATGTAAGTATGATGACAGCTTTGACAAAAACTTAGTCTATGAACCATCAGTTACTGTACATAAGCCATACTGGAAGAGCACTGTTACACTGAGGTGACTTTGTGTTTATCTTGCACTAATAAAAATTTGTCCTGAATGCATACTAGTGCATACTAAAATTGTTCTTCTGCTTTGTTTACCGCAGTCTTTCTATATTTCTATGAGTTTTATTGCTCCACACCATTAACTGTGTTTATCTTTTCAGCTTGAATATGTCTACATGTTAAATACAATGATTTTTCCCCCTTTGCTGCCCATATTGTCATACTTTTCTTTAGGCACCAGTTTGTTTGTTTCACATATTTAATAATCGTATTTATTCATATCACAGCTACACAGCACATTGAGGCTACACTTGCATTTGATTTAAACACAGCAAAACCAGTAGAATCAGAAGAGCAAAAAATATAACCAGTATAACCAGCTGCTTGTCTTAGGTTGTTGTTGGTGGTGTCACAGCTACACAGCACATTGAGGCTACGCTTGCATTGCTGTCTTAGGTTGTTGTTGGTGGTCTCTCATAATATTTTGAAGGTTTGCTCTGCTATGCTGCATAATATCTGTGGAGGGGAGTGTCACTGTCGATCTGTTGTGGCAGGAAGTGTTGGAGGGGTTGTCTAAAAAGCTTTGCATCAAGTAGAGGGGTCACGACCTGATTAAAGGAATACAAATGGGGGGAATCTTTACATTTTTATACTTTTATTGTGGAATACTGGATACTTTACCTCATCAGATCTGTTTCAGAAGGAAAACCAGGTCACTGATAGAAAAAGCTCCATTTTAATTTTGGGGCTTACAAACAAGAACATGAGATTTCAGAGAGTTGTTCATGATGAAGAGGACATTCTGTGGATTTTAGTTTTTTTAAACACTATAGGTGACCCCAGTGAGAGTGTTTTGGTGAGTAAGTCAAACTGAAAACAAACACAAGGAAAAGTGATTAAACTGTGATTTTGAAAACATGAAGGGGACGTTTCTCTCTGCAGTAATTTGATTGAAGATAACTTTATTAAGGAATATGTAACATGTGATCACAGTATAAAGTAAAATAATAAGATTCTAAGCAAATTTTTGATGCAGGGTTCAGAGACAGGGCCTCAAAATGAGCTAATAATGCAGCTGTTATGGCACTTTACTGGTGCAAACGCAGTCGCTCAGTCACAGTCACTCTGCCCAGTTGCTAATCCACCTTTTCACTGCAGGATTGTGTTCACTGACCTGGCTCATAGTTTTTGCTTGTGGTTTGCTGTGATAAGTCCATGTAGACTAAAAACCAAAATGTCCCATTGTGCTAAAAATATTTTGCACTGAGGAAATCATGATTCTCTAATCTAGGCTGACAAGTCATGTTATACTTGAGTCCAAAGTTGATCTTGGAGAGCAGAGATCAAGTAGGTGAAAAAAAAACACAAAGAAAAATAAACCAAATTATACTCATTAATTTATCATCTGGACAAAACTGTATTTACTGTAAGCCATCAGTCACTGACCCACCTTTTCTTTTACCGTGTAAAGGTCAAGTGTTTTACAATTTGAAGCCAAATGTAAGTCTGAAATATTTAGAAAAATCACGTTCCATTTTTATGAGGAACAAAAAAATAGGCCTATGTGTAGAAGCAATGATGGTTTCCCCAAAAAATACTTAATGGTATTATTTATTGCACTTTTTAATGACATGCAGGGATTTGTATTAATATTAAAATAACAGAAAAGGTGCTCTTCAAATATTGTATCAAAAGCATTAATTCATAAGGCCTCACCTACAAGAATTTGGTAGATTCAATGAGATTTTACAAAACTCAAAAACATCATTATTATCAGTATTCTGGGTTGCACTGACAAAGGTATAGCCTAATGCTATATGGAACAGGAATATTTACAAAAACACTCCAGTCATCTTTTTCAATTGTCTGAATTGTCGCTGTTTTGTTTTTTATAATCGTGCATCTTTCAGACATTAGAAATACAGACAGGCTACAGCTGAAACGAATCCGCTTTATAAAACCATACAGGTTAATCTGCATGCTCAGGAAGGTTGCAATTTATTTTTCAGAGTAAACAACATAGCCACGATGAAACTGGGAAAAAAGAATCAAGATAAAATAAACTTCTGAAAGAAATTAACATTTGAATGCTGAAGTGATTATTTTTGCTAAAAGCGTCAAGTTTGAATTGGAGCTGTAGCCTAAATTAATAATTAGTAACTACAAGAAAAAGAAACGATCATTTTAAAATGATATCATTTTTCTACTATATTCACGAGTTAAACCTTATTAGGCTGACTCCTGCATTTAAATTCACTTCTCATCTGATCTAAAAAATAGCCTGTAAGATACGATATAAAACAATTAGTTTAGTGCCGAAGCAAAACTGGCCTTACCTGAAATAATCCAGTTTGCAATAGATTTCTTTGTTTTTCACGTAGCAGCTGCTGTGTTGGCGCAGCGACGCTCTGCAGACGGAGCACTCCAAACACCCCAAGTGCCAGTTCAGGTTGTTGACCTGTGGAGATAAAAAATGCACACACTTACACACTATAATGCACCACTAAGAGTGTATGAGGATAACCAACGCAACGACAGTACAACGCGCAAGCAGCCTTAGTTGTTTGACAGCGAAGTAAAAACTAAAAAAAAAAAATCCCTTTCACGCCTTTTCTGTGCAGTTTAAATTATATAGATATTTTTCCAAAGAAAGAAAAAGGGAATGAAATAAATAAAGAAAGCACTGCGAGGAGAAAACGTCACTAAAGGAAATTTGCATTGCAGTGCATGAGAACAATTGTTATCACATTAAAATGTTTTGCTTATTTTCTGGAGCTCAATTTGTGGTGTAAAGTAAAAAGTGAAGGATAAAAGAAAGAGACGGGGTTGGCCCTTAAATCTCTTGAATCGAGGCTGATACGTTTTATTCTTTCTGAGAGTGAACATATCATGTATAATTTTCCCCTGTCTCTGTTCATTTCTCACCTTCAGCAGGTACCGGTCATGGATCTCCATGCCGCAGCTGGCGCACTGGGTCTTGGCCACGGGAGGAGAGCAGAGACAGGCGGCCTCCGACGGACTGGACTCACCGGACTCCTTCTTCACCTCCGACTTAGACTGCGTCAAAAGCACAGTCTTGATTAATCGTCTCTTAAAACTTCATGTATATGAGTCGAGTAACTGAGTAAAAGCCCATGAAATACGTTAGTCCTAACCAGTACGAAGATCCAAGAACCATTCCTATATAACATAGACCAATTAGATTTGATTTCCTAATGTAGCCTGTATATTCATTAATTTAATTGTACATACTTCCAAGCATGTGCTACAATATTTCAAAGACTGAAGTTTTATTTAAATTGTATAACCTGCCGCCTAAAATGCTGCAGTATGTGAACTCTAGTCGGCAAAACACAAGTGCATGAACTGAGTTTTGGTGGCTTCCCTCTCCATCCTTGTTCATAAATGTCTATAGGGTACAGTCTAGTCTCCTTCCGATTAAGCCTGTACCTCTGCCAAGCCTTCACAGCCCTACGAAGGTTAGCCTATCTAGCGTGCAAAAAGTTTAGTAAGAGAGTAAAAAGAGGAATAAACAAAACCTTACACGGACTGAAAGACAAAGAAATGAAAAGGTTGCAAACCGAACTCGTCCAGATGTTTGTGACTCACCATTTTCGGGTCTTGCGCGTTGCCTATTTGGAGAGAAGATGGAGTTTGCTCTGCGCATTACGCATCTCTGCCCCAACCCACACTATATCCGGTCCAAAACAACGAATAACAGTTTCTCCTGCATTTAAACCCTGGCAACAAAAGGAAATTTAATGCAATTAGGAGAAAAAACACTATATATGATCGATCATTCCTCTTGTGCGCAATAGGAGGCTGTATTCCAATGCAATCAAACGCGCTGAAAAGAAAGGATGGCACTATATCTGCAATTAGCGGTGGATTGAAATGCTTCGCTTGATAAGAGGCAACCCGAGTGTCAATTTCATCTGTCAATCAAGAAAAGGCAACCGAGCCACCAAGCTAAGAGAGAAAAAAGCGGCGCATTCTAATTTCAATAGCTGTATAATCGAAAATCGAAAAATCTCCAAAGTGAAGAGGCTCAATTGGAGATCGGTCTATTCATAACAGACAATGTGAAGAAACTGCAGCTGATCTTGAGGCATAAAGGAGCTTGATTGTCTCTTTCTCATGATGGACCCATTTAAGTACTTGAGGCTCCCCTGGGTGATTACAGCTGCATTCATAAACTGCCAAAAATGTGCGTTTGGGTGGTAATCCGGAGTCCGTGTTGTCCTTCATTTCATCGAAATTACCAGAAATGCAAGATTATGTTAATTAGCAGCTATAGTATAAATATTGGAGGCAGGAATATAAGAAGAGATGGTCTGTGGGAATAAAATAAACCATACACTTCATACACGGAGAGTTTCCTAAAATCAGCGAAAGCATCGTCCAATAAAAGTTTCTGTAGAACATCACAGGCAAAATATTCATCTAATTCCGTGGACCATGGCTCTGTATGCAGGTTTCCCTCCCGGTGAAAGGAAGATTTTGTCTCCTTCTCAGTTTCTGGCTTCAAATGAATCCAACTTCATTAACTTTGTGGAACTGGGAATCACACCAGTGGCACCAGTGTCTCTCCCAGACAAGCTCCCAGTATCGCTGTGGTTTCCTCTCCCCGCCTCGAACTCAAAGTTTACACCCAGTTCACTAAGGCAGGATCTGATGCTACCCATTGGACTAGCAGACCCGGGTTTACCCTCCTGTTTGTAATGCACAAGAGTATTTAGGGCAAGAACTCATTAAAAAACACCCACTAATTAACATGAACACTCTGAAAGTGATGTTTGCAGAGGCCAGAGTTAGTTTACTGATGACTTAACCCTCCACCACTCTGCAGTCAGCGGTGTTACAGTGAACAGTTCTTTTTATTTTTGCAGTCTTATCCACTTTTCCTTTCGCTCAGATTTGGAATCCTCATGGTTTAAGATGAGGTAGGCATCATGATAGGTTCTCATTGTTTGTAGAGAGAGATAAGGATGTAATACAAATCCTCAGCTGGACTCAAGGTTTTTAGTTTATGCCTTAAACATCTCATTATCCTTGACTGATGGTTTCTGTGTCTTTACCTTTATGTTAGCATCCAGTGTTGACAGTTTTAGTCTCAGAATTTATAGCCAGCCAAATATTCCTACATCTCCTAAAATATTATAACCTGGGTGCTTTATCTAGTGGGTGGGTTTTATTCACAGGAATTTTAATTTAAGTTACAGCCTTAGCTAAAGCTAATTTGTTGGCTTTTTCAGTGGCACATCTTGTTTCTTTTAACTGAAATAACCCACTTTTGATGCTCTGTACCACAGAAAGCAATAGCTACTGTAAATCGTAATCATAATTATTAGAGAAAAAGTGATACCAGATAAAATAATTGTTCTAGAAGCTAACTAGCTCAATTTAGATGCCCTATAGATTGTCAAAGAAGGTTTTATTGTTTGACTGTTACATCTTGCTTCATGTGTCCATGATGTCAGTTCATCTAGCCAACACTGACTAAATCATTGAATCTTTATATGTAAAGGGGATTTTATTCATTGATGAATTAGACAAAAGATGACTTTTTTGATGCAATAATTTGACTTTTACACTACATGTACATTTTAATAAATTCTTAATACTGAACATACATGAAGATTAAATGGTTTGTTCATTGTGTGATTTTGGGTGAGTGTCCCTTCACGTTCATTCTATGTTTATAGATCATTATATGAAGATTTAAGGGCCATATTAGGTTGTTTAGTAAATTCATTTCTAATACTTTCTTCTGTATTAATTTTTTTTTTTAAGAATGTGGGACAGGAGACAAAAACCTTCATCTGTAATGCTAGTGTATATATAAATAGACAAGATATATATTTGTCTAACATATGTGCATGATACAATAAATAGAATACCTACATTCAGGAAATCATCTTACAAGTTATGCATGCATATGGCAAAGCTACATATATACATTTAGATGGTGTAATCATATTTACTCCAGTTAATGTTTTTTATGTTAAAGTAAACTGAAGAGAACAAGGCTGCCTGTCTTCTAAGCAAGTTGGCATTCAGAGATTTCAGAGCGACGATGATGAAATCACACTGAAGCCACGGCTGTAGATTTCTATAATCACCAAATTCCCCACCATGAAATCAATGACACTTTAATCTTTATTGATCACTTAAAAAGCATCTGTAATAGCAGAATTACAATGTCTCAGTCTCTTTGCTTTGTCAGTGTAATGCACTCCAGCAGCTCTGTGCATTAACTGTAATTACCAGATGGAGCAGGGTCAACTGGAAGTGGGCTGGTCAACATGCAGGAGGACTCAAAGGAAGGAAGAGTGTTATTTCATCTTCATTATTGTCACTCTTTAGTGGTGATGTGCAACCACTTTACCCATGTTTTTTCACCATTTTTGTCCAGTCTCTGACCAGTGTAGAGCTGGTTTTATTTCTACGTCAATACCTACAGGACCTTTTCAAAGACAACGATTTTTGCTGTATCCAGATTTCAGTCATCTTCATCAGTAGTCATCACAACATGTTTACTCTGCTGTCAGAGATCTGTATGTTCAAACTTTCCATTATTCCATATAAATTATCATTATTGAATAATGAAAATGTTTTAACATTTATAGTTTCATATCAACTGAGCAAAAGCTCTGGAACAAGTGAGAAAGTAGGAATGAAGGTTAAGAATGAATGAATGACCACAAAGAGCTGTAAAAGACTACAAAAAAGTGGAAAAGACCACAAACAAGTGCAAAAACAACCACAAAGCGACACAAAATGATCACAAAAACATGCAAAATGACCATAAACGGACACAAAATGACCAGAAAGAGATGCAAGATGAATACAAAGAGACAAAACAACTACAACATGAACAACATGGATGCGTAGCTGTTAAAGTTGGGGCCTTTTACATGTCTGGGTCCAGGGGCCCATTGTCCTATAGTCTGTCCATGGCTGTAGGATATTTGGAGCTACAGATAGCCGCTATTTACTGATATAATTTCATTTTAAAATTTTCAAAGTTGTTATTTGGCAGCTATTTCTTTAGTGAATAAACAATGTAACTACTAATAACGTGCAGACCATTGGTGCCAAGAACAAGAACTTCAAAGTACCTAAGCCCGCCCCTGCCTGTACCCTGCCTCAATTTCCTCCTTGAAAATCTGGCAAGATAAAATGCACAACAACCTTTTAACAATAGTAATATATGAGGATGGGTCACCTGTCACATCCGCTACAACACTGTGGATGTGTGAAAGTCAGCACAGCCGCTGTGCGTGTGTCTGACGGCTCTGTCCTGTAACCCTGCCCTTCCTTTATGCACAGCTGTCTATGATCCCCACAAACAATAAGCGACCAGCACACAATAAAAAGAAAACTGTAGCACATGCTAAAACTATTAGGCTCATCCAATGAGCCCCAGTGGACACTTTGATGACTGATATGTCAACAATGTATGACGTGTGCCATCCGCTTGCTGTGGAGGTTCAGAGGGGTTCACATGAGGGCAAAATCTTATTTACAGTGGTGACGGGTGGGAAACAAACAGCATTAAGGTGGGGTCCTTTTGTCATTACTATATAACAATGCTTACTTACATAACTTACTGACCTTCAGCTCCCAAGGTTATGAGTTAAACTAATGCCTAAAAACTTCAAAACGTTCCTGGTTGCATAGGCCACTGCTGTAGTCCATTTTCTTTGGATTGATTTAGAAGATAATATAAAGTTCAGCTGCCATAGAAAAATCTCAACACAAAAATCAATCACTAAAAGGCTACTGCACTCAAACAACATGCCTTAATCCCGATAGGGGAGGCGACAGCGGTGCAGTGGGTAGAGCAGTTGTCTCCCAACCAGGAGGCTGAAGGTTTGAATCTTGGTGCCTGCAGTCCACATGTTGAAGTGTCCCTGGGCAAGACACTGACATTGTAGCATTTTGTATGAATAGTGTAACAGTTATGAACTGCTGTGGTGGCAAATTTCAGTTTTACTCAGACAGTAATTATCTTGTTATCCTGAAATATCAGACTCTCTTTTCTCATGATTAACAGCCCTAGAACTTTTTTGCTCAGTCACTGAATTATTCTGAGTGATGGTGTACTAGATAATATTTTCTGCCAAACTTAGACTAGTTTTGCTGATTTTACAGGAGAGAAAGTGGTTTTGTAGATTTCTTTGTGGTCTTTTCAGTAGTTTAAAGTGAATGGGACTCTATGTCACATATTCTATGGCCCATTCAGGATTTTACAACCAGAATGGGATGGCAGTCATGAACCCCACCACCATCAGTTTGATGATGCAGGTTACCTGAGTTTGTGAGAATTAAACTCTTAAAAAATATCATGTCCCCCGAAATTTAAATTAGCTAATTTAATCACAAACATTATTAGACATTTTGTAGGTGTTCAGAGGTTTTAAGGCCTAGTGATCTCATTATCATCATCTTTTTCAGAATTTCCTTCTATCTATCATGATTAATGATTTTTCTCAAGATCATTCATTGGATCCTGGAGGTACAGTACAGAACTGAATATAAGTTTGTTTTATGCTTGTATGATGTATTTAGCACAATTTGATGCATTGCAGTGAATCAAACACTATCAATTTCTTTGTAGTGGGTGTATGCGCAACATGCAGGACTGACAAAACCACAAGATGCATATTTATTTTCTAAAATCAAATCATATAGTTAACACCTTCCTTGAGCTTCACTTTGAAATGAAACCTCATCCCATCAGTTAGTAGCCACATAAAACATGATTGTAATCTTGGAGGAAAAAACCTTCTTGTTTTAATACACATGACAATCAGGTAAATAAAATTGGAGATAACAAAATGATAACAAGTAGATCAGAGGCTTAAAAACAATAAAGATGTAAACAATGAATGCATTTTGATTGGAGACACTTGTCACACATCTGTTTGTGCACACCGTTACATATATACTGTATGTGAATGTATTCCATAAAATAAAATACATAGACACATGCACACAGTTTTTCCAAATTTCTGTTCAGAATTGACTTTATCCATTTGTTTGCACTGTTGTTTAACTCCAATTTAAAATCCTAAACAGAGACAATGTCTG